CTGCAACTGAGGGGGCGCCGCCGAGAGACCACCCCCCTCCCTCCAGGGAGCAGAAAAGGCGAGGGGCCGGAACCCGGCGCAAGGCAAGCGCGCAGGGCGATAAATCCAGCCACGGCAGCGGCGCCACCTCCTCCGGCTTTGAGCCTCTACTGAGAAAGCGGGCGGGGAGCAGGCGCAGAACGGGGCCGGGCGCCGCAGCTGCCGCGGGTTCGGAAGCTCATCACTCGGGGACTCGGTTGCTCCGGCGACTTAGAAAGTGGGGTCTTCGGCTGTCTGAGCAGGCTGGGTTCTCCGACTGCCAAGTTATTTCGATATACAGCTTTTCGAAAGCCTTTGCCAGGAGAGCTATTATTTTTTCCTCCTAAATATATGTAAGTTGCATTTCAGCCGGAGCTCGACTGAATCGGTACGCGGAGCCTTCGTTTGTGACCTGATTCACACCCTTATGAGGCCTGTTGAATAAACGCAATTGGCGGGACTGAAGAAATCGGAAAAAGACACGCTGAACTTAGATTGGGCTTGAGAAAGTTGTTGCAGCAGGCCACATCATATATATATTGCCTCTAGGATACAGACGATGCAGGCTGCCTAAGAGAGTTGTATAGCCTGAAAACCTGCATCCCTTTTAGCCGTAGTGGGTGAGAGAGATGTGCATACACGTGCAGAGAGTGAGAGGCAGCGTGTGAATGTGTGTACACACACACAAACACAGATACCCCGCTAGCCAACCTCACCTGGGCGGGGCGGGTGATGTCCCGCCCTGTGAAACATCATCTCTCCTCAGAGGAGGTTGGCCCCATCCCTCTTAATTTTCCTCAAGACTTGGTTCCATCATCAGGCTTGGGGGTCTCAAGGGAATGGTGAGTTGATGAGGTGGCTCCATTGTCTGTAAGATCTGATGCTCCCTCCTTGCCTTTTTAATCATATATTATTGTTTTGATTGTTTTTTATATTCCTATTTTATATTTTTTATTGTAAGCCGCCCAGAGTCCCGGTTTGTGAGATGGGCGCCTATATAGATGATGATGATGATGATAACCAGCACTGCAACTTCTTCCTCCGCTTTCGAAGCGAAGCACCTCCCCTCCACAATAATTCATTTTACCGAAGAAGCGGAGGCAGCTTTTCATTTTGTAATTGGCCGGCGGGTGCAAAAGGTGCGCTCCGATTGGCTGACAGGGGGGAGGAGTGGGAAGGCGTGGGAATCTATCTTTCCGGGATAAGATGGCGGCAACGATTGCATTGAGGAGCAGCTGCCGAGCAGCCGGGCGTTTGGTAAGGAACAGAGAGCGGTGGGAGCTGAAAAATGTGAGAAGGGGGAACAGTAGGTGCTTCATGGGCCCTGCTGGTTTCCATTCCTCTCTACAGAGAATAGGAGAGCCGAAAGGATCTACTTGGATCCTCTTGCTCTTTAGCAAGTGCACGGATTGTTGATCCTGTTCTTCTCAAATGTGAGAGGAGTTATGGGTATTTAATCAAAATTAGCGACTCAGTCATCATAAAAGGACTGCAAGCCATCCACGGTTTGTGCCCTGTTGGCCGTAGTCATTCTTCCAGAAATAAGCTTCAGTGCCATGCATAAGTGTAAGCATCTTAGTGATTTGAGATTCTAACTTGCTATTTTCTGTAATTTCAGTGTTACCAAACCTGTCTGAACAGAGATTTCCATGTACCTATATTCCTATACTTGTTTTTTTTTTTAAGGTTGTACAATTCTAATTCATGGCTGAAATGTTTTCCAACAGCTGTTTGCCTGGAATAATGCAGCCTTCCCACCTATCACAGATGTGTTGATTTAAGACACTTTCCCAGAGAGTTTTTGGAGCTGTTCAGAAGCAGCCCTGGGTCTGTGCAGTTCCCCAGGGTCAGCATTTTTGAGATGTAAGAGTTCTCTGTTTCTGAAACTGAAGCAAAGCTGGTCTTTTCTTTTTACAATATGCAGTTCTACTGAGCTTTAAAAATCTTGTTTTTGCACTGGTGGAACTTTTAAACTCCCCTCAGCCCCCATTTCCTGGACATAATTCATAAGCTCTTAGCACTGAGAGTTATGCATTAGCACAGGTCTTTCAAGGGTGAAGTTGGCTTTGCAGCTCCCCTATAAGCAATTGCTCAGGGGTTTTGTTTGTTTTTTGGGCAATCAACCAGACATCAGGTTCAACAGGAGCTTGGCATCTCTGTGCACACTCCCTCAGCATTTTTACATTCATGGAAGAACAGATCACTGCTGATTGTTTCTGAGCGACTGAGGAGCAGAAACAGTGAAAGTGTGGAAAAGTTCTCCAAGTCCCCAAATTTCCAGCCAGCATGATTGTTGACTGTACTAGACCAGAGGTTTTCAGACTTTTTCAGGCATAACCTATGTTACCTATAAGCTTTCAGAAGCATTTCTTTTTTTGCTGAAAATATAATATTCTGCCAGATGGTTGTCTTTGTGATCTAAAGATTGTTTCTAGTTCAGATGTAAGCTTACAAGATTACCTAATATAGCTTAGTTATGGCTCAATTTCTCTAGTTTACAGTAGAAATTGTAGAAGATAGTGTGGCTTCTATCTTTCAGATATCTACCTATAGGTAAAATGAGCTTTCTGAATTGTAATGGTTTACAGATCTGGAAAGATCCAAGGGCTGGCAGCCCTTTCAGGTTAATGAATGCAAATTGTGTAGTTGTGATTACTTGCTGTAGTAAATCTCAGTATGCCTTGGATTGGTAGATGCACAATCTTGGATTAGTAGTTTTCTGCCTTTGAGGAAGCATGTTCTTGATAATAACTGCCATCCTTGAGTGACATATCACCTTTACAAGGCTCCTTTTTATGTATAATTGTGAATTTCTTTATGCCAGTCTTTGACTTTCAGTTTTGCCTTTCACTAGATACAGACTGCCTGCCAAAATGACATTGAAATTCTTCTAGTCACCCTGGCTGACTAATCTTTTTAGGTAGAAGGTAACCTTAGGCTTCATATCAAAACATTAGTTGGATGTCAGAACATTCAGTAAACAGGTCCAGAGAGGCCTGCAGAGCAGACATTAGAGGTCATATCTAACCAGGATCATCATAAAATTCTCCTACTAAGATACTTTATCTGATTTGGAAAGATTTTGTTACTTATTTTGAGCATTGAATTTATCAGAAGCTCTTGTTTCACTAAGCAGATAACATATCAGTTTAAATTTTGTTTGTTCTGTTTTAGATCAAGCAGCAGGCATACTTCTCTCTCCCTTCCTCACTCACTTTTTCCCAGATTCCTTTAGTAATATGAACTCTTGCTAAGAATTAGTTAATTCACAATTACTTATCTGTAAATTTAGGTACTCTTTTACCTGGAACTCAGATAAAATCCTTTTATATTCAGCAAGCCATGGTCAAGGAGGAAGAAAAAACAATCATCTATTATATTCTTTGCATGAATCAAAATGATGCTTGAAATATGTAAAATTGTGGCAATATAAATTTGATCCACTGAACAGTTTGGAGCAGTTTACATAAGGTTTCAGAGTAACATACTATCTAGGCAATGTTCAGTACCAGATTTGAGATCAAAGCTGCATATTAGCAGCGTCCTGCTCTCTGCCCTGTGGCCTTTTCTCAAAATCCTCAGCCCACTGGTGGATCCAGACCAGGCACTTCCAGACAGTTAAGTTTTGTAGTTGCCAGTTCCATTCATGAGGGAGAGTGATTTTTTTATTTATTTAATCTATTTATATGGCTGGCCAACTCACAGATTGTGACTCTTGGTAGTTGACGTAAGCATACAATTCCAAAATATAGATAAGGACACCCCCAAATGAAAGCATAACATAACTGAGGCCAACCCACAATCATTCAGTTTCCAATCATTTCATATGGACTCATCTAACACTCTGGCCTAGGGAAAAAGGCAGATCTTCAAGGCTTTAGGGAAGACTAACAAGGTTGAAGCCACATGAATCTTGGGTGACATGCTTTTTTAGAGGGCAGGCGGGGACCAGCATCATGCCCATCCTGTCAGGTCTTGCAGGATTGGAACCCTTTATGGAATTTTTGCTGAAGAAAGAAAAAAAATGAACTTGTGATTTATGGGTTTGATGATCAGAAAGGGTAGACTATGGAAGAAGGAGATTATGATGTAATCTTAGAATAAAATATAAATGCATTTGTAACCACTGTTAAGATAGACCACTTCTTTATAATCCTTTTCTTTCTTTTTTTTTCATCTTTTTTCTATTTTCTTCCTTATCCATTCAGTATTTTTCTTTATTTTTTATTTCTTTTTCAAAATCTGTATAGTATTTTTATCTTGTAAAAACATTCTTTAATAAAAATTATATATATAAAAAAAGATCTTGTAGGACTGGCAGACTCAGTTGAAGGTAGGTAGTCCTGCAGGCAGCCTGGCCATATTCCATGAAGGGCTTTATAGGTGGTAACTGACATCTTGAATTGTACCTAGAAGCTTAGTGGGAGCCAGTGGAGCTTGCAGAGCAGTGATGTTACATGGATGTACTGTGCCCATAATTACACATGCCATTGTATTCTGGACCAGTTGCCTTTTCCAGGTGGTCTTCAAGGACAGCCCTATGTAGAACACATTGTAACAATCCAACCAGGAGTTGACGAAGGCATAGGCAACTGAACAGTGTCTCCTAATCCAGAAATGAGCACAATTGGTACAGAAGCTGGATTTGTGCAAAGGCCCTCCTGGCCATAGCTGCTACCTGCTCTTCAAGCAGGAGCTGAGAGCCTGGGGGGACCCCTATGTTGCATACTACAGTAGTTCTGTCTGGAGGAGTGCTATCCCATCCAAAATGAAAGATGGAAGGTCCCCAGGTCTAGGGGCCCCAACACCCATAACCATTTGGAATTGCTAGGATTAAGCCAAATCTTGTTCTTGTCCATCCAGACTCCCACTGTCTCCAAATACTAAGAAAGAACCTTGATGGCATCACTTAGTCAGCTAGGAGTAGAGATATATAACTGAGTATCATCAGAATACTGATAATATTTAATTCCATGTCAACAGATGATCTCACCAAGTGGTTTCACATGGATGTTAAAATAAGAGTGGCGAGAGTAGAGAGTCATTAGGGACTCTACAAAGTAGGGGTCAAGGGCTAGATCTTCCCCTTTCTACCAGCACTGACTGACTACGAGCACTAACTGGTCCTGGAAGAAAGAGGAAAACCACCATAATACTGTGTTTTCCATTCCCAGCCCCCAAAGTTGGTCCAGAAAGACATCATTATTGATGGTATTGAAGGCTGCTGAGAGATCACTGAGGGCTTGGATGGATGTACTACCCCCATCCCAATCCTGCTAAACATCATCCACAGGTGTGATCAATAATGTCTCAGTACTGTATCTTGGTCTGAAACCCAACTGAAAAGGGTCCAGATAATCTGTTTGTTCCATGCCCCACTGAAGCTGCAAACCAACCACCTTCTCAACAACCATCCCTAAAAAGAGAAGATTGGAGAGGGATGAAAGTTCTCCAACACTTAATGCAGTGATGGTTTCTGGAGGAGATGATGGATCATCACCTCTTTGAGAGCTGGTGGAACCATTTCCTTATTCATTCATCCATCACCATCTGGATTCAATTACATGTCTCTTGGGAGGCCTTAACCAGCCAGGAAGCACAGGAATACACAGGTGGGTCCACTTACAGCTGCAAGGACCCTATCCACTTCCTTGGGGCTAACAGGCTCAAATTCTTCCTAGATAAAAGGAATACTTCAACATTTAAATCATCAAAGTTGCACTAAACTGTCTGCAATTACAAACTGCTTTTTTCTTTTACTGATTCTTACCTTTTAAAAATAAAGACTCTCATAAGTTTTTCTCAGTTCCCAAGGACTTTGTGTAGTTTTTCTGACGCTACAGAAGTGACTTTCTATCCTTTTTGTAGGGTTCCCCCCCCCATTTCCCATTGAAACTTTGGGTTTTCTTAGGGTTTTCTATTCAAGTACTAACCAGGTCAAACCCTATTTAATACTTCAAGTTCAGCCAAGGTTACTTAGGTGTTCTACCAGAGCTCAATCTTATCTACATACATAAATGCAGTTTATCTGAAATATGGCTGATAACATAACAGATGAATTTGGGAAATCACTTTATAAAAGTCTGTAATAATTACACTGAATTCCACTATGAAATAGGACTTATGTAAGATGCCAGAGCGGCTAATCTCAACAAAAGGATTAACAGTAAGTATAATCTTGCTGTGTAAATCTATACATGTACAAAAAATTGTATTTTGGTTCCTTATATTTATGAGCTTAAATGTTCTTGTGCTGT